CAGCCCACATCAAACCCCGCCGCAACAAAAACACCGCGCAGACCGCGTGCAGGCCAAGACACTGAACCGGCGGAACGGCTGCCATTGTTGCCACGGCTACGGGAGCGGGAGGGGGGGGTGGTGAAAAAACGTCACCAAAACAAAAGCCCGGGGAAGCTCAACCGCATTGACCTTTGCGCGGACGGGTCACCCGCCTGCCCCCCATCCCTTATCTACAGGTCGTGCTGCAATACGGCCTCCGCCAAATGGGGATTTTTAGCCTCGTCTCCGTCACTCGAGCGCGATAGCGCCGGGGTCAAAGGTGACGCAGCCACCACGTGAGCCCTGATTGACTTTTAATTGTTAATCAAGTGCGGCACTGTGTCCACAAAAGCCGGAAGCTTTTCACCAATGGGAGATAGAGGATGTGCCGTGGCTGGGTTTCCTCCCCAACAAAAAGCTTTGCTCCAATGCACTCTCTTTAGTTGTTTTTGGGGGATGCAAGCCCACAGAATGTAATGACCCTCTGGCAGACGCCGCAAGGCGTGGAGTGGCGGAGCGAGTGGTTAACAGGCTGCGCGACGAACCCGACGATCCGAGTCCGATTCTCGGCGGCGAGCAACATATGAACTGCTCCTGGGCCACCCCCCGCACCACCCCCCCCCCCCCACCCCCTTACGCCAACCAGAATCGAGAATCGAGGAGAGAAATCCCACGGCCTAAACGGCGTATGGCGGCCTTCATCCAGCAGTGGATTGACCAAGGGCAGCACAGTATCAATGAAGCCTTGAACACCGAGAACGGCCGAGAATGTGCTGGGGGCACAGAGGACAAAGACAAAATCCCCCATATAGCCTTAACAAACTGTAGGGGCAAGTGCTGTTCATGAGCAGCGCCTATGAAGGCCGGCGCGGCGCGCGATGGGTCGGGTGGCCAACACCACACCCGGCCGCCTTTGTCTCCCCTAGTGGCGATGTTTACACACCGCACCAGGTACTCAATCGAGGCTGAGTCGACCTAGGGGAGGCCCAGGACCGGTTCAAATAAACGTCACTGGCGTTGACCGTGAGCGGGAATCGAACCCGGGTCGCCGGCATCGCGTTTGCGTCACGCACGCACGCACGCGTCTGCCCAACCGCCTCGCATGGCGAGACGTCGTTGGCAGTGCCAGGCTAACAGACGTCCTTCAGTCCGCTGCGCCGTGCGTATATAATTACATATATTGCATATCCGTGCCCGGTGCCCTTTTAGCTCCTGTGAAGCGTCGCTGGAAAACAGTGTCGCGTTACCCCCGCCGCAGTGTCGCGTGGCACGCCCGTAGCAAATTGGGCAAACGCCGAGCACAACATTGAAGCTTTACGTGCTTTCACCTCCCAACCCCACCCCCCAACACTCAACACCCTCCACCTGCGAGCCAAGTTGACGGAACCTTTGCCGCAGATCGCCAGCGCTTCTCGTGGCCGCTGGGAAGGTCCCAGGTAGGCGCGACGGGGGTTCCTCCAGCGGGGGCGCTGGCGGCGGTGTCGCAAGAGTTCAAGGAGTGTGCCGCAGAGGTCACAACCGGGGTACCCGATACCCGTACCCTACCCGATACCCGGCTACCCGTACCCGGCCAGGTACGGGTACGGGTACCCGTTTGCGACCCTGGTGCGGCCGGGTACGGGTAGGCCGTGAGTCACTGGTGAGTAACCGTTTGTCACTCATTTAGGGTAGGGATCGGGTACGGGTAGGGAACGGGTACCCGTACCCGGCCGGGTACGGGTACCCATTTGCGACCCTGGTGCGGCCGGGTACGGGTAAGGAATCAAAACCCGTTTGCGACCTCTGGTGTGCCGAGGCGCTTGCCTGCGAGCGCCTCGCGGCGTTCGAGCTTCGAGAGGAAGGAATCTTTGTGGGGCCACCTTCGGCGGGTCTCGAGGATTCTCGCCGCGGTGGTTCCAGGCACGGGGCCGTAGTCGTGGCGTGCGCGCATTCGACGCCCGTCCGTCTTGCGTTGAAGCATCCGCGCCTCTTAAGTGGCCTCCATGAAAGGTGTGGGGGCCAAACATCCCAGAGAGCAGGAGCCTCTTGGGGTTCGGCCAGGAGAGGGCAGTGCAGAGTGTCGCCCCCCTTCGTACCCGGGGGGGATGGGTGGGGGGGTTTCTGGAGGATCTTTCTCGTGTACCTCCCCCACACGAAGCCAAACTCGTGCTCGCGGAGTTCGCCAAACGTCTCAAAGTGTAAGCAGCACCCGACTTAAAACGAGTCTTGAGACTCGAGAGGCAGAGGAGGAGGATGAGGGGGGGGGGGCTTTCTCCTGGGTACATGATTTGTCATGATTTGGAAACAAGCCAACATTGGTCCATTGATAAAATAATTCCGAAACATTTTTTTCAGAGAACAACTTTTTTGTCCAAGAAGCCATTGCCCTGAATTTCAAAAATAAATTCCTCTCTCTTTTCTCCTTGGCTAGAAAATCAAAAAGCCACTCCACCCACCCCCCACCCACCGTATTTTGGCGTGTCGTAATTTCTCCTTTAAAACACAGTCGATGTATTAAGACGGCGGCTTTCCGGCTAACACAGCGTCAGGGGTGGTGGAGGGGGAGGGGGTGTTTGAAAGTGCGCAATCGTAGGAGAGAGCGAGAGTGAACTCGAGGCTCCATTAATACCACAGGAATGCACCTCGGAGCGTCGGGTGACACTGTGCCCCTAATGGGAACGCGCGCACTTTTCACAACAAAAAATGACGCCAATGATTTACCCCGAGAAAGCCTCGCCGGGCCCGAGGACTCTCTTCCAGGAGGGCTTCTGCTACGTTGGGATGTTTGGTCAATGCTGTTCATTAACGAGCGCTGGGCTTCGTGCGAGAGGAAAACGGAGAGCGTGGAGCAAAGACAACACACCGCTGCTGTGTCCGAGGGGGGGGGGAGGTGACTTTTGGCACTGCCATCTTCTGGCCACACGACGTAGCCCACGCCTACGACACCTGCCAAGCCCTGGTATTGGTCACCCACCCATGTACTGAACAGGCTAAAAATTCCTGCTTAGCTTCCGAGATCCAACGGGACCGGGAGAATTCTGGAAGATTTCTGGGCCACGGGTACAACTCTTCCGTTCAGTCCACGAGTGTGCGCAGTCAGTGGCTCCGTGTGTGTGTGTCTGTGAAGTCATGGGGAGCGGTGGCGTAGCGGTTAGCGCGCCGCGCTACGAACACGGGTTCGATTCCCAGTGACGATTATCTGAACCGATTCTGGGCCTCCCCTAGGTCGACTCAGCCTCGCCACTGGGCGAGACAAAGGCGGCCGGACGTGGTGCTGGCCACCCACCCCCTCGTGTGCCATGCCGGCCTTCATAGGCGCACGCAAACAGCCCTTACCCCAACATTTTTGTTAAGGCTACGCGGGGGATCTTCGTCTTCGTAGTCATCCCGAGACTCGTTGGGCTCCCGTCTCCAGCCGCGCACCGAGCGCCAAAGGTGTCGTCGGCGGCGCTCTGCGCGAGACGTCGGCGCGACGGTCTCGAAGCCTCTCGCCGGGCACGCTTCGACTGGAGGCACACGCCGACGACGACGACGTCGACACCGTGACGATGCAACACGCCGGGACTCCTTTCTCGCGTCACGTGCACCAAAGGACGCCGAGCTGTACACGCGAGATGATGCTACTGCCGGGACTGGGTTTGACCTTAATTGGGGATCATATCTAAGCGGGTTTAGCCTGCCCAATGACCGGACGCGCTCGGGTTAGCGTTGAGATCGGGGTTCGGTGTGCGCTCAGGCTAGAGGGTGCGTTTAATTTAAAATAGCTCCCAATCCTTTGTCGATCCACTGCTGGGCAAATGCCGTTGTTGGCCATGGGGGCCGTTTGACCATATTTCACCACATTGGTCAGTGCAGGTTGATGTTACTCGCCACTGATGTTAGCCATGGCCGGGCATCGAACTTGGGTGACGAGGCTCAAAGCCCAGTGCGTAAATCACTCCAGAGTTTGTTTTAGGATACCCGGTTAAAACACAACCCCCCACCCCATGACTCCCACGCAGATGTGATGGTCGGGGATTACACGCGCAGAGCTAAAAACAAAGAGAGGAACGCGCGGATCGGGGAACAATTGGGGGGGGGGGGGGGGGGCACACACAGACAGCAACTGTGGCTGTTGAGGAGGGCACGCGGAGTTGGGACGCATCGGTGAGCAGGGACGGTGGGCGATGGACGAACCCGGCGACGGAGTGGGAGGCAAATGGAAAGGAGAGAACGCGCCCGCGGGGACGGCAGGGGCGAGCTGGAATGTGCAACCCCAGGAGGGATGACGATGACGTGGGGAGACCTTCATCCAGCAGTGGATAGATAATGGATGATGATGATGACGATGATGGAAGGGAGGCCATCTAGCAGATCATGACTCGTGATGATGATTGTGGTGGTTGACTTGGGGATGTTACGCATCCAGTGATGGAGAGAATGAGGAAGTATGATCAAGGTTAACACGCGGACTCAGCGATGATGGTAATGATGACCAAGGTACACGAAGATCAGGGTGACAATGTGGACGTCTCCATGCAGCGCTAGATGATGATGATGAAATACGGTCAACCTAACAGCCCACCTTAGTCTTCTTGGTTCTTTCGGTAAAGTCACGTAAAATGGAAATAATAAAATAATAAAATAAAACATTATAAAATAATTCTCACGACGTTTCGGCCGCAACGCAAGCAGCCGTCCTCAGGTGAAGACCAGGTCTGTCGGGGAGACAGCGTCGGCTGCTTGCGTTGTGGCCGGAACGTCGTGAGAATTATTTTATTACGTTTTATTTTATTATTTTATTATTTCCATTCTACGTGACTTTACCAAAAGAACCAAGAATATGAATCCCTGCAGTCACGAAAGCTTTAAATCGAAAGAGCCCACCTTAGTTCAAATCACTGCTGTTGATGACCACTACCACCACCACAGAGTCCCAGCCGTCCCCCAATGCGCCCCAGCAGCATCACAACGAGACAGCGAGCGAGCGAGAGAAATCAGTCACCGCTGCTGGGACTCACCCTCGCAATGTCCCGGTGTCATGCTGAACCCGAGTCGTGCGGCGGGCGGCTGCGCGCACCGCAGGCCCCTGTCGCACGTGCCCAGCATGTCGTACATGCCGCCGCACGCCTCGCCCGCCTGCTTGGCGCATGCGTGGCAGCAGTGGCACACGTCCGGCACCGTGCCACCCGCGCAGCCACGCGGTGCCTCGCAGCGCGCGCGGTCGCAGAGGCACGAGAGGGCAGACGCCGAGGAGACGAGGAGGGCGCCGAGGATGAGGAGGAGGAGCGGACGACCGGGGCGAGCTCCGTGGCGAAGAGGAGCAGCCATGGCACGGACTCGTTCACTCGCTGCGGCTGGCGAGGCTGCTGCTGCTGCTGCTCGTGTCGACCGACAACTCAGACTCCACTGCCTCTCGCCTCTAGTCCTTCGCGTTTCCTCCTGGATGACGTGCCAATGCTACCCACCGCTTGCAGTCCCACTCCTCGCTTCACCGCTCCTGCCTCCAGACACGAACACGGCGAACTAACTGCTACAGTAACTCGGCTCCCTTCCCCCCGCCTCTCTCTTTCTCCTCGTGGCTGACACTCGAGAAGACAACTCGCTTGCCACGCGTTCGCGCCCCCTATCACCACCCTCTGTGTGTGTGCAGGCAGATAAGACTCCCAGCGAATCTGCGCGTCTCTTGTGGGTTGGCCCCGCTCGCGTTGGATAATTCGAGATTGAGGTTTTTGTCGATCTCTCTCGGTTTACGCGGCTCTGTGTGTGTGTGTAAGGTCTAACACTACCTGCAGTGTGAGAGAAGTGTACGTACTCGAGGCTGTGTTAGGTAAGCGCACGCACGCACGCACACGCGTGTTTGTGTGCGTGCGAGGTGTTCCTGGTACTCCCCGCCGTGAGTGGCGCCCTAGACCACACGCGGCTGGCTCGATGTTCCGAGCGAGATTCTCTCTCTCCCCTAACTCTCTCTCTCCTCTCCCCCAACTCTCTCACTCTCCGAACAGTAACGACTACTAGTCCCCTCCAACTTAACGCTATGAATTATTCATACAGCTGGCTCGACTGCAACTTCCCACAAAAAAAATGTATCCTACTCTGCCTTACCTTCTTACACTTATCCCGCCATGCGCAGCAGAAAAACAACGAACGGCAACTTGTTTACGTCACACTGCTATTAGCAGCAGCAGCGACAACCACCTCCAACTCCACGTAACAGCTAAGGGAGTAGGAGACTCGCCCTGGCTGCGTACACGTGTACTGCTGTGTTTTATATATCGCCTCTCTCCCTCTCGCTACACACAAGTTTGGCTCAACGCTTCCCTTGCCCCGCTCTCTCTCTCTCTCTGCTTCCTCGAGTGCTGGCTCGGCTATGATGATGGAGACGCGGGCGGAGCAGAGCAACCGAGACGACACCGCCCTCCGCCTTCTCTCCTCCCTCCCCCCCTTTCTGAGTCTTGTTCTCCGTGGGCAGTGCCGTGCGGCTCCCTCCAACCCACGGTGCTTTGAGTCGCTCAGCGCTCTCTCCTCCCCTCCCTTCCCTCCCTCTCTCCACCCCACTCCCCGGCTCAGTCAGAGCTGTCAATCACAGTCGCGCCTCCCTCTCTCATCCCCTCCTCGCTCGCCCTCCTCCACCCGCCTCTCCTCCGTAAGAGCTCAGCAGCAGCGGCAGCAGAGACAAAGACGCGCCTCGCTCGTAGCCTTTCACTGACTTTTGGCGACAAGTGAACCTTACGGGCGGGGACCCCGGGGTCAACGAATAAACGGAGGTCAAAATCGTAATAAATGTATTTATTTTTGGCCGCTCCGTCCCACCGCGCAGCATGAACGCCGCGACCCACCAGAAATCAAACCCTCTCGTTCTTCACCGAGCACCCGTCGTTGCCAAAATTGCCGCAGTCGTAAACAAAACTTTGAAACTTTAATTAGCGCATCGCGTGGAGCCGGGGGCTTATGGGACCCCCGTGGTTCCTCCGTAAGGGTCAAGTGCTGTTGGTCAGCACCCGATGAAGGTCAGCCACGCCCACGAGGAGCCTGGCCTGGCCAGCACCACGCCCGGCCGCCTTTGTATCTCCGCAATGCCGCCGCTTGCACACTGCAGGGGGTGCTCGTTCAAGGCCGAGGGGGTGCAAGCGCCACTGATGTGAGCCGTGGCCGGCAATCGAATTCAGGTGGGGATGCTGATCACCCTTGCGGCCCTGTGAGTCCATCTCTTACCCAGTATGATACAGTACACACACGCACGTGCGGTCTGGCGAGACATCGTGCTGCGAGCGACCACCTACCTAGCGGCCTTAATAGGTGCTCGCTAACAGCGATCACAGAGGGGGGGGGGCAGTGCGGGAGGGGGGGGGATATAATGGGGCGGTGGCACGGCGATTCGCGCCCTGCCCGAGTTATCGGCTAACATCAGTGGCTCGTGGGGTCTGAATCCGGCCCTGGGCCTCCTTCACCTTCACCAACCCGCACGAACCAGCATGGTGAAGTATGGTCAAACAAGTTCGCATCAAACCGTCGTGACAGCAGTGTAGTGACTTTGGGGGGTGGTTGTGAGTTGGGGGGGGGCAGCCTTTGCGCTGTTTGTTCGGTACCGACTTGCGTGTGGTGCCGAGGAGGGGATGTGAGCGTTGTCGCCATCGGATGGAGGGGAGGGTTTTCCGCATTCCTTCGCGGTGGAATGTGACCCCCACCACCTCCTCCTCCTCCAGCAGCATCACCACGCCAACATCACTACCATCATCACGCCAACATCACCACCATCACCACGTCAACATCACCACCATCACCACACCAACCACAACCACCACCAACCACCACCACCACGCTCCTCACGTTGAATCATCGAGCAGCGGGACACACTGACCCAGAGCCCTAGCCTGAGCAGAGACACGCAGACAGAGACACGGATGCATGTACAGGGATATGGAAGGAGACAGAGAGAGAGACACACGTGAAGGTCAAACAGGTGCCACAGACACGACGTGTACACACGTAGAAATAAACACAAAGACAGATAGAGAATAGTCAGAAACACAAACACGCGGACAGACACCGAGCCACACACACAGAGACAGGCACACCTAGACACGAGACAAAGACAAAGACCCCCCGTATAGCCTTAACAGACTGTAGGGGCAAGTGCTATTAGCGAGCACCTATAAAGGCCGGCACGGCACACGAGGGGGTGGGTGGACAGCACCACGCCCGGCCGCCTTTGTCTCCCCGATACAGACACCGAGAGAGCGTGAGCGAGTGCCACTGCCAAGAGGGTTTTCTGCTCCACTGGGAAACGTTGACCGAGTCAATGAATGAGCGCGGTGGTGGTGGGCACCGCGTGCACCCCTCGGCTCGTCGCGAGACGGTGGCTGATTACTCGGCATGTGGGACAAGCGTGCATCATCAAGATGTGAAATCACGACCCAGCGAAGGGGGAGATTCTGCAACACGGCAAGGGCGAGGGATGGGGGGTGGGGGACGTACTGGGGGGTTGTGTTTCCAGACCCCCCACCCCACCTCTCCCATCGATGGACCAGAATAATAACGCAGTCGCTGACAAGGAATTGAGCGCGTTTCGAGAGGGCGAACCCATCGAGGAGGTGGAACGATGAAATAGAAATGTGTGCGCGAGCGCTGGTTGGGTTACTACACCGCAGGATCGTGACAGGTGACGGCGGCCTGGAGTAGGCCGTCATCCAGCAGTGGATTGACCGCGCGATTGCGCTGACGATGCTCCAGAAGTTGGGACACTCGATGGTAACAAAACATTTTTTGGAATGAAACTGTTAAGAGCAGATAAATGTTGGTGGCCGGGTGTCGAACGTTCACCTGCTTCTGGGTCAGACGTCAGGAAGGGAGTGATGGATGGCGCGGTGTGCGAACTTCAGAATCAGAATATTTATTTAGACTGGAGGATGAATCCGATGAGCTATAAAGCTCTGTATAACAACGTAACAACAACAAACAGTGCCACAACGTGATCGTCGTGAATAGTACAAGAAAAGTAAACAAATCACCCAAACGCATACAAATACAACAGTCAACCATCCCCGTCCTAGCAGGCAAAGCCCACTGAGGTGCTGACTTATTTTTTCCAGAAGCGACCTGACCACAATGATGATAGCTCAACAAAGTGGTTCACGCTTTGGACATTTATGGCAGCAAAATCATCTAAACGAGTGGTTCTTAATCTGGGGTGAATGCACCCCCATGGGGGTGCGAGATGTCCTTTCTGGGGGTGCGAGACGTGTCCAGATCTTTTTCGAAGGTCAATCATCGACAACACAAATTAAGCACGAGCCCGTTAAGTACAACTTACAGTAAAACGTTGGATTGCGAGCATAATTCGTTCCGGAAACATGTTTGTAATCCAAAGCACTCGTATATCAAAGCACTCGTATATCAGTTGTGATCACGTGACGCTCGGCAGACAAAGCGTATACACGTACTACTCGTATTGCAAGACCTCGCTCGTTTATCAAATTAATATTGATTAAAAAAAATTGCTCGTCTTGCAAAACACTCACAGACCAAGTCACTCGCAATCCAAGGTGTTACTGTACTTTGTTTCCTGAAACCTGTGTATGTACTAACATTATCATTTAGCTTGACGATGGAGAAATGAAAAGGGGTGCACGGCTGCGCTAAAGGTTTAAGAACCACCGCTCTCAACGATCTCAATGCACGTGGACTCGAGCCGGTCCGTGTTGCACGGCTGTTCATCGGGGCCCTCCCGTTGCGAGCGAGGCGTTGCGGGAGGGCCACCACCCCGCTCCCCTCGCCGCCCGCCGTGATCGCCCTGAGCGTCGTGCACAGCTCCGGCAAGAGGGCGCTCGTGAGCGCGGAAGGTTCGAGAGATTGGGCAACTTGCAAGGCGACGCCAACCCCCCCCGCCCCCCTTGTCCTATGTGAGCAACGTTGTAACAAAGACACCTCTTCTGAGTTCACGACGGCGTATTTAGTATGCGTTGTTTCTGCTGCTGCTGTTGTTGTTATCAATCCGCGTGTTTATCCAGGAAAGCCTCGCTGAGTCCTCACGACTCTTTTTGTTCGGAATGGTCCTGCCCAACTTGTTTTGCGGTAACGGGGCGACGATTGCCACGTGGATTCCAAATGAGCACTTTGCGGTCCAATTTCATCAAAGTGTGCTCACTTTGAGGCCGGAAGACAAACGAGCACCACTCCTGCGAATGCCGTCACGGCATCTGTGACGTCCGCTGCTGTGCGGCAGATGGCCCAAAGTGGTTGTACGGTGAGCAACACCCGCGGTATTAATCGGGGCGGCCGCTCAATGTCGAACCGCGAAAACCCCCCTTGCAACGACGCGGTTGACCCCCCCCCCGCTCGGCTGCGTCACGGCTTCGTAGAAGGGCGACCTCAGCTCCCGCGCCAGCGTGCTGACACGAGGCGCTGGAGGGGAGTTTGGGCGGTGGTCGGGAGGTAGAGAGAGAGGGGGATGTGGGTGGGGTCGGGTCTCTCCTCAATTAGTGTCAATTAATAATGAGAAAGGCGGCGATGCAATCCCGAATTACCATTGCCGACCGCAGCTCCATCGCGACACGAGGCGTCGTGTTCACGCGCGCCTCGCCGATTGACGGAAATTTGCGAATTCCCATCGCTGCAATTAATGGCAAGCGTTCGACTCGTGTGTCCCCCCCCCCCCCCCATCATTCCTCGCCGACCCGCATTGACGAGCGCGGTGAAGTATGGTCCAATAACCCCACGTTTGATTGGAGGCCCTCGTACAGCGGTGGATTGACACGAGGGAGGGGGTCCCTGCACGCGCACGAGGCTGTGTGCACGACCCAGTACTGTCACGGCGTAAAGTTGTAGCCGCGAAATGCAATCGGCAAAGTAATGGCAATTTATTTAATTGAGCGTAAAGAATACGCGCCGCAGACGAGACAATCCGCTAAGTGAAGTCCGTGCCGCGCGCGGGTTCCGTGGCGCGAGCTGCAGGTTGATTTGTTGATCTCAAGGTTAACGGCCGAGTGAGCGCGGATTGATGCGGCGTGCCGAATCCGTGCGCGTATTTTAACTCTCAAGGGCGATGCCACCGTGACCCGCGAGCCGAGCAAACGGCTCGGCCGAAGGACTTGTTTTTTTTTACTCGAACTCAATCTCCAACCCAAGCTGCAGTCACCGAAATGCCAGCAAAGTACACGCACTTTGGGGCCGTCCATAAATGACGTCACGCACCTAGGGGCGGGGGGGGGTCAGACATTTGTGACGATGTGTGACGAGGGGGGCGGGTTGAGAAATGTAACGTCACGTCAATATGCGCAACTTTAAATAAATATAGACAACACGTTCTACTTCATTAAATAGACGTTTTAATAAATGTTTTCTCTTACAACATCATAGTGCAGCGCCACATTAAATGCGCACTACGATGACAATAGTTGAAAGCGATTTGAAGCATGTTTTAT